ACATAAGTGTCCTCAAACTAATGGCATCTCCAAGACATCATAAATCCTGATGGTATTATGTTAGTAATTACAGATCAACTAAAGAAAGAGGACTGTGTCCCTATGCAAATAAAAGGACACCAAATGTTATTTGCTGGCTATACCAGATGATAAATAAAATCATGGGTTGGGGAGAATATATGAGCACCACGTATGTCAGCAAATTATAGAGTGGAGAGTGACTGTGGCAGTTGCTTGGCTTTCAAAGCAGCATTTGACTCGGGGGACGTGGAAATCAGATCTAACATTACGCAGTGTGATGGGTTCAGGAATCAGATATGCTTGAAGCAGATCACTTTGTATCAAAAACATCTGCTGCAGAGCTGAGATCTTTGTCTCTGTGCACTTTCATTCAGGAGGAAGGATGTTTGTCTCTTCCCCAAAAGACCCCGCAACAGATTTATTCAGTCAGCCTTCCTGAGAACAAGAGCATTCTCATCATTGTCAATCTTACTCCAACAACTTTACACATAATTCCTTGAGACAAAGGCTTTATTTTGAACTAGCAGTATCTAAGAGCACAGTGTAAACCTCTGTATCTTTTCCTAAGTTGAAAAATACAAGGCGTTGTTATGTCTTTAATGAGGAGCTGAGGAGCTATAGGAAACTAGATGGTTGAAAGACAATCTCATACTTGTAAAAAGGTACAGGGATGTGGTAGGGCACAGCTCATCCTGTATTACTGTAAAGGAATTTTACCATTAAATAAAAGCATTCTTTGTTTTCATTGCGTTATCCTCATCTTTGAAAATAGGAACTCCAGAAAAGCGGAATATTCTGTTCGAGTCCACTTGTATGTTTGAGATGGTAGCAAAACTCCAGATCAGAATGAGGTCATCTGTTCTACTCAGTCTTCACTGCCTGGGAGGTCTGCTTCCGATGCTGTTTTATTGCATAGGTCACCAATGCCACTGTTTCAGGTCTCTCTGATACTCATTTTCTTCTCCTGCCATTTACTTTTCAGTGATTAATTGTTTAGCTCTTGCATGCTGAAAATATATACTCAGCCTTTAGTCTCACATCAGTGTATGAGGAACATATCTGTGAATATATCAGTGAAAATAATAACTCTTAAGTGCTAGTGAAAATAATTGTGTTCAATATTGACTTTAATAGCCCATATTTTTTCTTTATGTGTTTGGTGCAGCACAGAAATAATTTCTGGGGCAATTTAATGTGGATGTATGAATGGATTTCAAAAAAAAGTGAGAATGAAAAGTATGTGAAAAATTCTATCATATTTCCCATTTTCCCCTTTGATTCCAGTTGAAAAGGGTAGAAATCAGTGATCTGAAATCTTTTTCTTCCAGTAAAGGCCAAGAGCATGCCCTTGCCTGGTGCTGCTACCCTTATGAAAGCAAAAGCAATCTACACTATTTTCATGGCTATCTGGTATAAAACTCTAATATTGGACTTCTATACTTACTAAGATTCTTACAACTATGTAAAATTAATTGTAAATTAATATTCATAAATGTCAACTCTGTAGCATTAGCTCTGCCAATTATATGTTAGTGGATTGTACACGTTTGCAGAACCATTTGTTTCTTGAAAATGTTATTTCTAGCTTTGCTTTCACTTTTGGATGACTTGTCCCAACTCTTCCATCTGTTCCGTTTCGTATCTCTTGAGATATTGTTCAGCACTTTCTGAAGTGTTTACCTTGTTTGTGTGCTCCCAAGAACTGAAAGTGTACTTCTGCGTGTGGAATCGCAGAGAGTAGGTGTTACATTTCCTGAAACTTCACCGAGTTTCTGAATCATTTAAAAAACAATAATCTAAAAATAATAACCAAAACTGAATCAAACTTAATGGTGGTGTTCAAGGCCAGGTTGGATGGAGTCTTGGGTGACACGGTTTAGTGCGAGGTGTCCCATGGTGT